GCCTATTCTACTGTGTAATTATATTGTTACACCATGAAATTATATAGAAGTTTGACGTCATCGTAGGTGAAAATGTCAGCAAATTAAATTATACGAAAATGGATTGATTTTTTAATCATCTCCTTTTTGGGTTATAGCTGTCATTACGTATTGATCCTCTTTGCCGAAGGCAATTAGAAATAAAAAGTTAAAACTTAGACGTATTTCATCATGTGGATAGCCATTGAATTTTTAATAAATTGATTCTTTAAAATATTAATATTGGACTTTCATATCTACCAGTTTCATCATGAATCAAGTTGAAATCAGTCAAGTTGATCAGACATATACTTCAAAATAAATTATATCAACGATGAGTCATGACACGTCCTCCCCATTTTACGTATGGATAATGTTAATATTCAATGAGTTCAAATTTGATCCTGCCTAATCTATACACTAACTACCACTCAGATCATCAACGTAGTACTAAATAATTGAAGAAAGTTACTCATTTTATTATATTGGAACCAGTCTTTCTAATGTCTGTGCTATACTGTAGATATTCCAGTAAAAGAATTCGATATTATAAAAATAGCGATATCTTTTCTCTTTTTCTGATCACTATTTTGAGTTTTCGAGGTCTAGATAGTTACTTTTAATATCCCATGAAGGCGATAAATAAATTTACAGTTAGAATAAAAAAATCAAAATCATGTAGATATAGATAAACGTACTCACTATCTTTCGTAACTATTAACCCAGAATGAGAAATTCTTGCCCTTAGAAAAGTTGATCAATCTCATTAAAATAGAAAAGAATGAATGCTAGCCAAAGTTTCGTGCCTATGAGCGGTACTTGGGTGCATTCTCTTCCTCCATTTAGTTGCTATATACAACTTTCTGACGTTATAGAATTATTTGCATATCATAAATCATTGTAATAATAACGTACTAAAATTAATTAGATAAACTAGTTAAAACTATCAGACATACATTACTCTCTTTCTCTCTTTCTTGGCTAAGAATTCCATTGACGGAGTTTACATTTAATTAAATTTCATTGATAATTATGATTACTAGGAATGGCCCTACTATTTCATCAACCATATTGTATGATGATTAATTATGGTATATCTTCGACTCCCTATAATGAATCGTCCTATATTCTACTACCGTATATAGTCATGAACGAAATTATATTAAATTGCAATAAAGGTAGACTTAAATAAACAAATTAAATTCGGTCATTAATTGCCCTACGATTCCATTCTATGTGAAATATATTCAATAAGATTTTTATTTATTAAATGCTCATTTGTATAAAAAGGATTGGGTATTTTTATCCGTATCAACATAAGCTTCAAAAAATCTTAATGTAGCCTGGGCAGCTATCAATTAATCAATTTATTCATCGTATGATTAAGTCTAAGACATTTTCATTTCAATACTTTTGGCCTATTCTTCTGGGGTTATTCTTCTACTATTACGAGAATCTCCCTATTAGGGCTTTTAGTTTCAGAAATTAATTTCGAGTGAATTTTTTGTCCCACACGGAAGAATATTCATTACAACTAGTGACAATAGTATTTCTAATTAAAATAATGGAAAATAACTGTACTTTAGCCTCAGTTTCTGATCTTATACATCAGTATAGAGAGAAATAGAATACTAAAAGAGTAGTTTCAATTGATGTGTACTAAGTGGACATTTATAAATACCAAAATTGAATATTTCGTTTTTATACGTATCTAGTCGAATAGAATTTAACTAAATTGTCATATTAAAAAATCAATCTAATATGGTCACCATGAACCTGAATAATGAGTTGTTGATATGATTAAATATAGAAAGCCTAATTTGCGTCATGAGTGGGCAAACACTGTTCCACATACTTGAGACTGATAGAAGCTATAAAAATCTTCAGACACAACGCAAGATTCCAACACCACACATAAATTCTAAATTAATTACCCGATATAAATTATCATGATTCTGTACATTAATATCCTGTTTACTTTCGATTATAGGGTAGACTTTACAGAAATTGTTAATACATAAGGTAAATGTAGCATCAACGAAGGAAAAAAATGGCTATTGAGCATGATTTTAATTTAATCAATATTCTTTCTATTTAGCTTTTAACCATAACTAAATGCGAAAATGTTATATTGCCTTCGGATAAAATACAATAGATCCCATGTGTTTGAGGTCAAGTATGGTATACGATGTCATCATGTAAAAAAAGAAAGGAGCAATTGCTGAGGTGAAGAAATGTGGTTATAATAGTCCTAGATTAATTCTTTCACAGGTTACTTATACTGTATTAGCTAGATATGATATTAAAGCCTATAAATATATCTCCAACGTCAACATAGTAACCACAGTACAATCAATTTTATATTTATTCATTTAAATTAAAATTACAGATGATTATAAGGGAGATTTTGACCTTAGGCGAGATTAATCTTCCCATCTTTCTAATTGAATCAAACGTACGCCATAAGTCTTAATTAATTTATGTCTAACCTATTTGAAGTGATAACAGTCATCACATTCTATTAATTAAGGATAATTAAATACTTTTTCCCCCAACTGACCAAACAATTGACATTCTGTGGATAGTTGGAATTTTATACATAATAGAATCTCCGACTCATCACCATGAAATCAAGTTATAATCTTATTGCAATAGAGAAAGGAAAACGAAATCAACTGTAAAATTTATTGTGAATATTAGGAAATAAAATAATTGAAACAACGGTGTTGCTATCCTATCATTAATGCTAGTCCTTCTGATTAAAATAAAATTATTAACCCTGCAGATATAATGATCAACATTCACTATGAAATAGACGTCATTCAATAATAGTAGCTGAATTTTTGATTAAATTTTTATTTGTTGTGGTCTTATTTACTTAGAATTTTCTTTTTTTTAAGCGTCTTGTCTGTCGGTGAATGACCTCATCATAGCCTTAGCTGCAATTATGACTCATAAAATGACCAGCCTGAGGATATTAAAAAAAATGACTTCTTTCTTGACTAAGTTTAAACCATCCTACGGCGTTATTATAAATTTAAGTTGTACGTATTGTTTGCTACAGGAAATGATTTCTGCGATGTATTTTATAGCATTTTGCTTTAGCATTCTATGGAATGCATTTTCTCATATTGATATCAATGATACCAGTAGTATGATACGTAAAATAGAATTCAAGAAATGGATCAAATTAAAAATCTATAATAAATAATATTAATACAAACACGCTTGGGATACTGCAGTGCGGTAATATGGAATTGTCGTAAATCAATCAGTTAATGAATAAAGTAAGTTAATAAACTTAGGTAGTAAAATAAGCCATTTCTAAATAGAATCAAAATATAATCGGTAGTCATGGCAAATGGGTCAGTGATATTATTTATGGTACTACAGAGGAAGATTAATGACTATGGAGACTTTTAGTTTTGGTCTACTCTATTCATTCAGTGAATAAAAGTATTGGCTAAAACAGTAGACCAACATTAAAAATAACATGTGTTTTGATCCATTGACATATCGACCCCTTCATTTCTTGATCCAATTGAAATGAGCTAATTCGTGGATAATAACGATTCCTTGGTCGTCATTTCTAATACTTTCTTTTGTATTAGAGTTATTAAAAGGGGAAATCTGTATACAACTGCAACTAGGCATCTTTTATAATTTTAATAAGGATATTAACTAGATGACGAAAGAGTGGGAGGAGAGGATAACTTTTCAAAATTATTCAACGAAAATGGAGATTAATAAGTTACATTTTCGTCAGCGAGTGGAAGAGAGAATAATCATTTCTTCTTCACTTTTTTATGCTTGTATACCTATTCGATCAGTTGATAATAGTATCGCCCAATTTTAGACATAGTGAGTAACAAAATTATCCTTCCTCATTTCTTTATTATTATTATATTCGTACTTACTTGCGGTAAGATGATTATTCAAGAAATATTCAGATTCAATAAATGGTATGACAGCTAATCATGAAAGATCGGGAAACCGCCAAAGCCTACTCTGGCGTATCGTCAATATGGTTATGCCCATTTTGGAGGCCATGAATATTTTTACTACATAACGTATCATTCATTCATGTCGGATATCAACCTAACTTATTAACAAAGCCTTGAAGGCTAAATTATTGAACTATGAAAGAGACCAATGTTGAGAATATTTAATTGAAATTGGAATTAATATTAAGTAACGTATGAGTAACTTTTAAAGTGTAAATGTGGTCTAGCGTGTTGATTCCTTCAAGAAAAAAGTGAGACTAACGAAAATTAAAGTGATATGAATAGTAATAATTCATTACCCTTGGAAAGTGATGTAAAACTATTGATACCGATTTGCTATAATAAAATTGTGAACATCTACCATGTGTGAAGTAATACTGTAGAGAAGACAATGATAAAGTAATGTAGTAAAAGATAGAAATGGCCAATGTTTCCGATAATACTACCGTTAACAATTGTTACTTCAATAAACGTTAGCGTAGACACAACAGAAATAAGATTCAGTTTTTACTCATAATTCTTAATTTGAAATTGCACGGTGTAATATTGTATGTGATCACGCATTATTAAAACATCATACTGACTCCTTTTAGATATTGCTGGGACTATTTACAGATGATAGGAGAAGTTATCAACCCGTTTATGACAATTTCAAGAACATATTTTAGTATAACTTTGAGGTGAAGATCATTAAGTAGACACCTCCCTGCAGATACCTCTCGACATACGATAGCTTTTAAAGACGAAAAAGCATTCTGTTAACCATTAATAAGTATTAAGACTCAATTACCTCATCTCTAAAATCGATTCAGATCGATTCTAGCTGATATACCACCCTCATGCTGTAAGACAAGAAATCAATTAATGCTATCTATCTCATAGAAATCTCAATACTCATAGCGAAGAAAGTGTCGTAAACAAGGAAAAACTAACCATGCAATCTAAGTATATTTGAATAATATCAGTATTACACTGTAATTAACATCGCATTATTGACTTACTTCTCGGCTCTCGGGGTCCATCAACTGTAATCTTGATTGCTTTATTATATGTTGCAACTTGTGGCGGATTAGTGCCGACAGTAATAGTCAACGTAAATGACTTACCTAAAGAATACAAGATAAAAGTCGATAATCATTTTCAAATTTGTTCGCTCATTTATTACTACTTTAAAATCCTTGCATATAGAGGTCCAATAATCAATAGTGCGATTGATATGTTGGTTTGATCAATAGGCTTACTATATACCAGTAATGTCGATTTAGATCACTGATTACATATAAAATCATCTGTTTATAGTTCCTTCCATTAAATGATACATCAATCAGCTAATCGATTGAATAACTTAAAAGCCATCATTTAGTTTTAGGCAAGGGTGATTCAAAAACGATGACTATTACCATCGTGCGTGTAATTATTTTGCAGCAAGAGGACAAATGTTCATCTCTATAGCTAAAGCTATAAGTTGTACTGATCAAAGTAAAAGAATAACGCAGATAGTAAATAATCCTGACTATACTCGGAGTTGAAATTGCTTAATTTAGGAACTATTCCTAAATACAAGCATAAGTAACACTATGGAATGATTTGAATCCCTTTAAGGTATTTAAATTTAACGAAAAAAGGTTTCTATCGTAGAATTTGCATGAATGTTTCTACTACAATCGGGTATAAAATTTTCGACTTCGATTGATGTATAGCTTGAAACTCGGAAACACTCAAGATCAACAAAAGAAAGCCTTATAGTAAGACTAACAAAAACTCAAGAAGTAGAAATGATCAATTAAAAGGATTAAATTGATGGACTAGAATGCGATTCTTGGTTTAAGTTATTATTGAGTACATTATTGATGAAAGCATTTTCTAAAAAAATTTTGCTAACTATACATATTGTTATGATGATTAATGCGAAGTTAAATAAAATAAAATTACGACCATCAAAATTCGGTCATACTATAGAAATCGATTACTAGGCTATTAATGCTATTAGCAATTCATTTACTATTATTTTAAAGGTGTCGATGTTTGGATATATGGGAATAAACTCAAGTAATACTATATTATGGTCTAGAAGATATAGATAAAAAAAGTTTGAATAAAGTTCAAATTGTCTGTATTTCAGGCAACAGTGATACTATGGAACAATAGTTTATGAACACTTATAGGAAAGTAAATACGGTTTAGTTTAGATGAATTTTTCTTTTAAAATTAGTTATCCATATTTGGTTATATTAAGATCGCATGGCGCAATAATTTATCATCATTTAAAGGAAATCAAACTCATTGAAGTTTTTCAACATGTCTATATTTGAATAATGTTAGAGTAGAGTAATAATTTATCATCATTCAAAGGAAATATAGCATTGTTAATTATCGATCGAATTTAGTATAGGGATGGCAGTAAAAAAAGTTTAAACTAGTTAACCTAGAAGGAATAGCATACTATAATGTAAAATAGGTCTAATTATTCGAGCTTCAGATATGAAAATTAAGTTGATTAATTTACTTTGCGCTATGCTAAATATCTTACAAAACCACATGATAGCATAAAAGATAATATCAATTTTAGATTTTTCTGAAACAGAAAAAAAATTATATTGATGCATATAGGATGCACTTACACTTTACAGTACTAGTACAATAATCGTTGATTTAAATTAATTCAACAGATTCGAATGACTTGGATAATCATGGTAAAAAATTACCAAAAACTATTCAAAAATGGGTAATCTATCACTTTTATCGCTACAAGATTGTAAAGAACGAAGTAAAATTCTTTCATCTTCTTATTGATTTAATTAAATTCCGAAAAATCGCAAATTCTAAGTCGGATAAGGATTTTGAATTAATTAATTTTTGGATAATAGTTTACTTACATACTACGTCTGAGCTCTAAATTAATTCATATATTAGGGGGGGGGGAAATAGAGCGGATGTATATCAATATACATAGTGAGAATCTGTGTATATATATGTGTAATAGGAGGGAAAAGAACAAATGGATTGCTTAATCCCGAATAAAACTCGTTAAATTAACAGATACTACGCGCTCTAACTAGTATTAACTATATAGTATATCAGTACGTTAAAATAGTAAATCAATCTTAAAAGAGTAAATTCGTGCAGTACTCAAAATATGCATTATGAGTAAATAAAAATAGAGTGGAAGATATGCCTTTTAAATATGTTGTTAAGCTATTTTATAACTAGATCAAATTATTTACTAAGCTCGTTATTCTAATTCTATATCTATTTAGACTAAGTTCAATCAACCATGTGTTGTGTATGAAAGAGCTATATCTTCTAATTATTGTCCAAAATTTAATATATAGTGCATTAATCTATCTATAAATATGTCTATATACACAGGTTAATAGCGATTGTATACAAGAATAAGTGCAACTAATCCTAAATATTGAACAAAAATTGTATTATATTGTGTCCAGCGCCATAGATGAGATCTTTCATTTTGCACGCTTAAGTCAATACATTATCAACTTACCTCGACCAGATCGTCCTATGAATCTTAAATCGTTAAATCGAGCAACTTGATTCTTCATGACCGCAGTAGAATTACGTAACTCAGCTGAGCAATTTTCATCATTCCCTGCTGCTAAGGATACTACCACGCCATCAGGCATATAACCTAGTGCAACGACTTTAAATGGAACAGGCAAACTCTTGTTACAGCGCCAATGTGATGGTAAAACACTGCATACAAAATTGGGACTGTCAGTTCTGACTAATTCTCCCGGATATTCCGCCAATGCGTCAATAAGAGATCTTTCATTTTTAGAACTTTTAATTGCAGCCATAGGTGATGACATCTTTTATAACAATTTGATCAAAAAAATGAACTATTCTAGTATGCAAATTTTGATCAATAAATTTTGCTAATGTAGCGAGAGGAAAGACGCCAATACTTTGTATCAAAGGTTTTATGAGCTAATCTGATTATACAGGTAAATTTGGCTTGATTAGAAGTACTATCTAAATTGACTTAATAGATGAATCGATCGACCCAGGGTGTTGTAGAATTGTACAAATGATTGGTGTATAGTGTCAAAGGTAAAATAAATGAAGAAAAATGGTTAAGCGATCTTGTATGCTTAACTTGAATAGCAGCAAATGGAATAGATGAAACTTGATAGTATGCGTTTACTTCGTTCAAGGACTTTAATTTTTTCCACCCTTAGCCGCTTTCTACTTTTGTAAATCAATATGGTAGTTGATATAGATGGACACTTAGCTAGATGGAGTAATCCAAAATGACAACAGATGATAAATCGGCTACTGTTTCAAGAGTTTGGATGCCTTTCTTCGATGACGTCGAGAATGTTTAATGTATAGTGGGGTTAGTATTGAAACAATCTTCAGCTGTAAGCTAGGTAGTGGTAGTTGTCTGCGAGCAATCGATGTTGACTTGCCAAACGTTCTCTCTCTGACAATTTCTCAAAAGATTTTGACTGTTGCTTGATGTTTAATTCCTGTCCAGGAGTACCGCAGCTAGTAGACACTTTGTAAATATAGTCTATACTCAATTTCGATGTCTTAATAATGGTATAAGTGTACTCTATGGACCAAACTTACTTTGCTTCTTTGTATACAACTAGTGTGTAAAAGGAAAGGATGAAAATGTTAACATTTCTGAGTATACCAACAAAAATGGATTACCACTTGCTCGATTTACAAATAATTACCACACTAAGCATGGAAATGATTTACCTAAGTGTTGATTAACAGGATAATAAGAGAAGTAGACGGATTATGATGAAATAGTATTGGCTCCTATCTATAACTGTATCTTTCTTGATATATACAGAGGCCAACTGCAGCTATAACTACGCACAAACTGAATGAAATAGACACTAAGATATTGGGGTAGTTCTATCAATTTCCTATAGTAGTAATATAAATAGCTCTTCAATAAGATGATGAATAGTTATGTTAACCAGTTAGGACAGTAGGATAGAATATCTACCTTTTGACAGATTGATCTCATAGGTATCGCTATTTATCCTGACGTTTAGCAGATGTAGTATTACAATGGTTATTTAACTGATGTTTGTCGACTACGTTGAATCGATCTTCCACGCCTCCAACTTTTAACATCAATAACTCATCAACAATAAAATGGATAGGCTAAGTAATGTCAATCATAGTTATAATAGATATCCATGCTGTTTATTTTCAGCATCAGAAAAAGAAAGAAAAAATAGACAAAAACGATTAGGCTTGAATCAATTAATTTCAACCTAACTGATCGTTAATACAGATTGTTGCTAAAATACTGAGTGAGACATTGCGGTTTCATTTTCTCCACCGTTGTATCAATGTAAACTATACTTATCGGTAATTTAATCAAGCGTGGTCATAAAACCATGTCTCTATTGTCTAACTTTTAATCGTCAGGATATTAAAAGCAGGCTATAGAGAGATGGTCATGGTAGTGGCTAACATGGCAAAAAGGGGTAAAATCGAGTGAAAATAGAGCTAAAGTAATTACGTACTCAATACATTCGCTTATTGATATCTATATTTAGGCTGATGATAATGTAACAAGACGATTCAAATTGAAAGAAAATAAAAGTTTGACCTTCTTGATTCAATATATTACACGTTATTGAATATCATATGTTGCATTATTAAGCTGATCATGATGATCATTACTCATTTCCTCTCACTCTCTATGTCTCTTCTTACTCCATTAAAGTTAGAGAGAGCTTATACTATTGATTATATCCTATTTTTTTTTTCTAGATGTCAGTAAATTACCCGTCAAGTGGTTTTGATACAAAAGACGGCAAAGTCATCACGGCTTTATCATCTTTTTAGTCAATGATTTATCATTTTAGTTAGTTATCCAAAAAAAGGGGGTGAAGAAAGTGACTAATACAAATAGTCAATAAAGAGTAAAGAGTATCATAGGTAATAGAAAGGCAATATGGAAGTAGAACTATTGCTTAACTGGAAGCGATATATCGTGAGGTATTAGTAGTAACCATCACTGTCCAGACAGTTGATCATGTTCAGCTTTTCGATTCATTCATACCGCAAGGGATAATGTTTAATTTTCCGTCCCCTTTTTCTGTCATACTAACTAGTTGGACGTCTGTCTCTATCTATCTTTCATCTTATAATAAAAAATTAGCAGACGTAGATGATTACCTTTAATTATACTAAGGAAGCCAATTCTATCAAGATGTCATCTGTTATCTCCACTTGAGGTCGTAGTGGTAGCCATGGTAAGATCAAGTATGGTACAAGAGATGAGTTAATCAATTAAAATAAATTCATAGAATAGACTAAGGTCAATATCTACTGGACATTAAACTCTCTTCTACTTGATGTTAATACATAAGCAAATAGTCAACAATAGCTTTCAAAAGTAGATGGTATCAAATGTTATTATTACAACAAGACAATATCCAAGTCATTGTTTATTAACATTTGACATTAATTATCTTCTTGACGTTCAATTTTTTGTCTTTAAACTTTCATTAATCATTTTTCTTTACTAGTCATTCTTTCTTGATTTATGTTACGTATTTTTCCCCTTTTTCTGTCTCTCTGTCTCTCTATCCTTTGATTAATTGGACATTGCCTGTTGGCGTTATTTTTATTTTTCACTATTCTAATCGATCTAGATACAGCCAGAGTAAGCCGAGATAACTGGTCAAAATAATTTCTTCAAGACAATGACAGTTTTATCTTCTATTGCTTACTGAAACTTAGTCTTACCGCTAATAAATTGATCTGTGAGGTGAAATATTAAATTTGAATTGTTTTCTATCTTATAATGTAGATTAGAATGGATTCAAGCTTAAGTCATTTATAAAATATTGTTGGCTAAATAGCTATAGTAAGTATAGTGTAACAATAACAACAGCATCGAGGATAAAGAATAAATAATCAACTGTACATATGTGTCTATAATAAAATACAATTTATCATTTTGCAGCTATTTAGACCGTGATTACCTTTCATATTTCAATTAAATTGAGTTATTTTTCACTTTCATCAAATAGTCTAAAGGTGATACCTATTCTATCAACTATATAGAGATGATGATGTGCGCTAAAGCATAAGGATAATATAAATCAATAGAGATAAATAGTAAATAAAAATCAATTATCCATTCTATGACGCACTATGACCATATTGTGGTATTGTTCTGTCAAGGGATGGTTAATTTAGAAATTTAACTTAGTTTAGCTTTTCCACTCTGAAAGTTGAATAACAGCAGGATAATTTATTGATTATTTTTTACAGTACTTAATACTATAATGACGATTTGATATTGAGTTTGGCGATAATATCAATAAACAAAAAATTAAAATACCCCATCTATTTTTTTATTATAAAATCAAACAGAGCCACAATTTTTTTGATCTAGATGAAATAAATAGGAAAAGATAGTTCAATCACTATATCAATACAATCTATTTGCCTAAAATCAAATTTGTGGCATTACATTAAAACAGTAGATTGGTAAAAAATCGAGGTTTCGAAAAAATAGACTAGTACCAAAACACTATACAAAACAAATAAATTAAATTGTAATGTTCTTCTTTATCAATTTATAACGTTTCTTTTCAATTTTAACTTGATGCTTAATCTACTGACACATCTGGCCTTTATCACTTTTACTCTCTAAATTGGTTTTCATTAATAAACAATATAATTTGTTATAACTATCCGCCGTCTTGGTTTAATTATGCTAACAGAACCGAATTATAATTAACTTTGCTTCGTATCAATTCCCTGATATAGAATTTTCAGCTAATTGAAGCGATTGTAATGATTACACCCAACTATTTTCTCCTATAGTTTTTTATTCTCTATTATTGACAGGCAGATTGCTAGATTTAGACACAATTACTTATTTATTCTCTAGCTGAGCATATTAATGGATATAGTATGCATGATACGTTATTGAACGATTTATTGATGTGGGCTAAATGGTAACATAAATCATCTCCGTTTTATTAACCTTGCCTATTTCTAATATCTTCTATATACCAATATGTAAAATATATTTTTCTTGTTATTATTCATTTTATCATGATAGTATTGGCGTCTTTTAGTTTGCGTATCTATCGTGCCGACCGTAGAGTTACTAATCAAGATATTGTCATTTGCATTTATTTCTCGATCATCTATACGTATCTTACCATCTCTTAAATTAACATTACATAGATTTAGTCATAATTCATTCGTCACTATTAGCCATAAAGGAAAAATATCTACAGTATCAGCTGTGATATGGATTAGTTAATTAGTCTATTTCAATAGTTTGTATATTCCAGTTTCCATATGTCTTTCAATCCTTACATTTAATTAATCAAGTATGTTGTTATTTTTTATTGATTCTCAACAATAAGGGTGAAACGTTAATCGATCAATACAAGTTTAAGCAGAGTTGATTAAAAAAGAAAAATCTGGTTTGTTGACTACTAGCCTATTGTTAAACTCATTTTTTATTAAAAACAGAGATTTACCTACTTTCTACGAATACTCTTATTTATATGTAACTCACTTTTCTACCTAAAATTGTTATCATCAATTGCGTAGTAATAATCTCTATTTATCTTAGTACCTTACATAAGTCTTATAGGAAAAATTAATCGCTGCCTAGTCAGGATAGAAGATTCAAGATTTATGGATTCATAATGTAATAATAAATAATAAAATATATTCAATGGGCAAATTGCTTGCGCATACAATCTTTCAGGGGTCAATCTACGACGAATTTTAATTGACACCAATCCAAATACAAATGAATCGCTTCTTTTTCTTTATTCATAAGTATTTT